GGGGCCGGGGCCGGAGCCGGGAGGAGGGAGCGGGCCAGCAGCCAGGCATTGAACCGGGGAGGGGAGAAAGCACGCGAAGGGCTGGCGGCTCTTAATGGATCCCACCCGTCCCACTGGGAAAGGCAGCCAACCCCCACTGCAGGGCTGCGAGGGGCCGGGCTGGGGTCTCCGTTTTCTTCCCACACCAATTTTGAGCGTGACTTTTCCTCCGTGTGTTTTTAAAGACAGCTTAACCTTTCCCCCCGCCACTCCCCGCAATGCCACACGGCTTCGCCCACGGTGTGACCCAGGAACCAGAAGCTCTCCGGTCTCCGCTGTCTGCTCCCCCAGCCCGGATTGCCAGATCCTGGGTCGCATAAGGTTGGGTGAAATCCCTACAGACAGTCGGTCTTTGCTCCTGCCTGCGCGTCCCACGGGCTCTGGGGCTGGCATGGGTCCCACTCCAGTCCCACCCAGGAGCCCGTATCGCCCTGGCTTTCCCTGGTGATGCTCCCTACGCCCACATGGAATGGGCTTTTGGGGAATGAAGAGAGGTGGGTTTAAAAAAAAAAAACAAAAAACAAAAAACAAAAAAACCCACACAACAAAAAAACAACCCCAAAACCATTCCCTGGGAGCATCCCAGGGTGGTCAAGGCCAGCCTAGACTTCAAGGTCGTTAAAACCACCAAAAAGTGCATCCCGTGGGGCAAAGCAGCCATGAAAGCACAGCGTGACTGGCCCTGTGGGGCTGCGGAGGGTGGGCACAGCCCCCCTGCCTGCCCCTCGTCCTGAAAAGGCCGGGGGAAAAAAAAAGAAGAGGATGAAGTTAAGCTGGTTTTAACGCTGATATCTACGACATCTACTGTCACACACCTTCCCGGATGTTTGGGGGTCCGGTGGGGGGAGCCAGGGCAGCCGCCATCCCGGGAAGCTGCTGGAGGATCATCACGGGCTGTTGGGGCACCGGCACGGCCCCCCCGGATCTCCCAGGTCGGAGCTGAAAGGCAGGAGGGGGAAGGAAAACCCCAGGGATGTCCAGGGGAGAGGGCAGAGGGGCAGTGGGGAGAGCAGCGCTGGTCCCGGGAGGCTGGGAGCCTCGGAGGAGGGGGTGGCTTGCACCAACCCCCATCTTTCCAGGGGTGCAGCCCCGTCAGCCCGGATGAATCGCGTGCCTGGCAAGTCCCAAGCCCTGGGGACACGTCCCCGTGCAGTGGTGGCCTCCCCCCGGGGTCTGCAGGGAGCAGGGAGGTATTTTGCAGATCCAGATCCCGGTGCCCACCCGAAACCCCGACCCCAGCCCCTCTCTCCTCCTGCCCCATCCCATTTTCCCCACACTACCCTCGGTGAGCCCTGACTATCCCCTAAATCCAGAGACGGAGCTGCTCTCCAGGGCTTACCCCGCGCGGGATGAGGTAGGTCCCCGCTGGGGGGTCCCCCCAGACCCCGTGGGGTGCCCCCACCTCCATGGCTGGGGCAGGCGTGCGGGCGATGGGGCGAGCAGGGCTGCTGCAGGCGGCAGGGCTCGTCGCTATAGCTGCTGGGGCTAAACAAACCCTTCCCCGTGGGTTTGGCCGGTGGAGGAATGTCCCCGGGCTGGTTTTCCCTGCGGTGTATCCCCAGGATAACCCCCCCACTGCAATAGGCTGTGGGGCAGGGATGGCTTGTGCCCCCCTGATGGTGTCTCTGAGCCTGCAGGACAACCTTCCCCGCAGGGAAGCGAGCTGGCAACAAGAGGCTGCAGGTTTTTCCAAGCCCTTCTACTGGTCCCAGTAGCCGGGGAGATCTGGTCCCAGTGGTGGGGTTGTTCAGCCCCACTGGCATCTCACAGCTTGTGGCTTTGGGAGCTTTGCTAAAATCCCAGATCCCGGCACCCTGTGGTGTCCTCAGGTCCTGTGCATCGCGGCTGGTGGGAGACGGGTCCCCTCCTGCCCTGTGCTCGTGCTCTCGGTGCCTCTGTTTCCCAGTCTCGGGGGATGCAGGAGATATTTGGGGATACCGAGCCCAAACACAGCCACCCCAGGACAGAGCAAAGCTCTCTCAGTTGGCAAATAAGAGGGAAAACCTGCGATGACAGCTCCTGGGCTTCTCCTGGGCTTTGGCAATCTCCAGCTCTGGGACATCCCAAGCCAGAGGTGATCCTGTCTTTAACAGCCTTTTCTTTCCAGTTTAGGGCTGTTGCCTTGTGTTGGCTTCGAGCCCGCTGCCAGGTCACCTCGCCGGGGCAGAAGGCAAAGAAATGGGAAAATGAGGATGGGGCAGGGGCTGGCGGGATGTGCTTTCCCCTCGGAGCGGCTCGCTCCTCGCCACGCCGCCTCTTTGATCTGGTCTTATCGAAAGATCCTTTCAAGCGCTGGTGGAAAGCACCGGGAGGCAGCTGCAGTGCATCCCCAAAGGGCTGAGCCACATCTCCTGTGCCTGAGGCGATGTCGGACAGAGCAAACCTGGTGAGGTGCCTTTGCCAGCAGCACTGGGAGATGGGTCTGGGCGAGAGTCTGGGATACCTTCAGATGTCATGCTGAGATTGGATCTACAAGGCTCTGCAGTGCCCGCTGTCGGATGGAGGCATCCCTGCCTGCGCACCACAGCTTTGGGGTCTCCGTTGGTGAAGGGAGAAGGTCCTTCCACCCCATGGGATATCCCCTTGCAGGTCCTCAGAGACAACATTCCTCCGTGCACAACCAAGGCACGGTGGCCGGGGATGTCGCTCAGCCCCGGTGCCACCTGAGGTCTGGTCCCCAGGGTGCCCATGGCACAGCGCCGGGTCCCCTGGGGCTGTCTCCCAGCCTCATGGCCAACTTCCCTGGAGATGCAACAACCAGCCACCACGTCCCACCACGGAAACCCAGACAAGGCTTAGCATGAGCAGGAATCGATGGCACCAGAGCCTGGCTGCAGCCTGCTGCTCTCCCCCACCATGAGTCCCTCCCGGGATGCTCACAGGAGGATTTGTGTCCAGCAGACCAAAAACAGCTCACGTTTTCCCTTTATCTCCCCCTGGCCAGAGAGCTGTGTGTGCCCGAGCTCCTCTCAGGGAAACACTGCTTAAAATATTTAAGCCCCAGCAAACCCATCACCATGAAAAAAGCCCCACTTTTTTCCCCCAAACAGCCCAACTTCCCACTGGTCTCAGGTATCTTTCCTCCACCTCCATCAGCTGCATCCCCCACCCCCGACGACTCTACTGGGTGATTATTTCCATCAGTATTACATCCAAAATCCGCCGTCCACCGATTGCGCAGATCTGGGAATTTTTCCCAGGAACCCAGCCTGCAGCCAGCCCTGCTCACCAAACGGGAACAGATCTCTCCAAAAACTCTTGTTCTGCCCCAAAATGGCACTGGAGACGCCCCCAGATGCCAGGGGAGGAGCGCTCCGAGGCCGACTGCCTTAACCCCCAGCCGCTGGCTCCAGTCGGGCTATTTTCTGCTTGATTAGATTTTGCTCTGAGTTCCTAATTTCTCCAACCCCCTCCGGATTGTTTCTCTGCCTTTTGTTATAACTCCCAAATTCCCATTATTTGCGCATTTAATTACCGTGCTGATTACCCCCTGCTTCTGGCAGAGCCCGCCTTGCTCTGAACAGAGCCCGGCTATCCGCCTCCGTGGGGCGAATATTGTTCTCATCTGTAGGAGAGATTCAAGCTCCGGGGCGAAGGGATGAGCAGTGTAAGGAAACCTTCTGCCAGCGGTGGGACAACAAGGGGAGACAGGGGACGTTCCCTGAATGTTCCTCAGCCCCCCCGATGGCATCCTGAGCCCCTTTGGGGGTGCTGCTAGCTGCCCTCCACGCAGACCCCAGCCCCGATGCATCTCGTGCGGTGTTGCAGGACAGGGCACGGGGTGGGGGCTCAGCTGCGGGCAGAGCTGTGCTTGGCTGCAGCCTCTCACCGTGGCACGTCCCTTTTTAAGTCCCCCAGCACATTTGTCACGCAGAGAGAAGGTCTGAGCATCAGTGGGAGAGAGGGATGCCGAGTGGCATCATAAGCGCTGGCCAGGAAAGCGCGGTGCGGGCACAGGGAAATGCAAGTGTCGTGGCACGTGGGATGGGGACAGAGAAAGGCAGCCGCGACAGTGCTGTCCCCAGGACAGGGACACCTTTCACTGGGAGAAATGACCCTCCAGCTGGAGGTGCCACCTCTTCTCACCAAGGAGGTGGGGTGAGGACCCCCATCAACCGACTCATCAACACTAGGGAGAGGTGACAGCCCAGGACCAGGTTATGCTCCCCGTTGTGGCGTGCTTGGTGATGGCACATAAGCCATCCACATGTGCATCACAGAAAACCAGGTCTCAGGAGAGATCAGGGGATTATAATGTTCTGGTGGGGATGGACCCCACTGCCCCAGGAGGAGCCACCTCGCCAGACCCAACCCCCAGACTGAGATGTGTGCCAAGAGACACCCTGAGGATGCTCAGCAGATAATTTTACCTGCAGCCTTCACTGTGGAAGCTCTTGAGCCCCTCTCTTACTGGGATTTCTTGTTCTGGAAACCTTCACCCAAACCTTCACCCTAAATCAAACCCAAGGCCAGGAACTCTGGTTGGGCAGAGGGTGGGCTCCACCAGGAGCGTTGCTTTGGGCCATGATCAGGACCAAGGCAGTGATCCTGAAACAGGGTCAATCCCCTGGGGACCAGGAGGAACAGGCACCCTCTGCCACCCCCTTGGACATGAACCCAACATCTGCACCACGTAGGTGCAAGCAGATGCTGCAGCACAAGCCGGGAGCGGGGGGTGATGCTGCAGAAGGCATCTGGAGCAGGATGACCGTGTTCCAGCCCCTCGGAGGGAAGCGATGCTCTCTCTTGCGAGCAAAGAAAGCTTAGCATCAACGAGCTTGGGCAAATTAGCGGAGGAGCAGAGCAGGGGCACCCGGGGCACGATGGCCAGCCGTCAGACCGGGAACACCGGGATGGTGATGCATCCAGCCTGGATGAACTGTGCTCTGATACGGCCCGGCAGCAGTGACTCACTGAGATGCCCTCCGGTAACTGGGGGAGAGCAGCGAGGTGACAGCGCATCCCTTGTGCCGTTCCCCTTCCCCGGAGATGAATTGTAGCCGGGGACATTCCCGAAATGAGGAAACGCAGGCAGTAGGCAGCAACCTTGCCTAAGACTCCAGGAAGATGAAGTAAACACGACTGAGGCAATTCATCCCCCCCCCCCCTCATCCCTGCTGGCTCTTAAGGGGTATAAAAAACCAGTCGAAAAACCAGTTTGTCATTGCACATGAAGACAAACCCCGGAGATGGAGTGGCAGGGTGGCAGCCGCTGTCCCCTGTGCTCCGCATCAC